TATCTCCTCTATGTGTTTGTGTTCTTTTGGATGGTTTGTGACTATGCCAACATAAGTTATTGCTGTGCATGTCCAAACCAGACCCCTTCTGGGGTCATGTGCTTATAGACAAGTGTATTCCCAAATCTCTTGACCCCCTTTGAATGACTACTTATTCTGTGTAGTTTTGAGTTTTATTACTACAACTGCTTTCAAATTGCCTCCGTTACTGATTACTTTACCAGTTTTAAACAAACTCTTTTTTCAAACTATGTCAAGCACTCTCACCTATTCCTAGAATCTAGGTTCTGCCCCTCTTGTGTGAGCCTTGCCTTGGGACCCTTGAGCTCCCTCTAAACTTGGACATATAAGAGCTGGCCCTTCCACACTGCACTCATTCTGTTTGGTTATGCAAATTTGGGTGTGAGCACTGTCCGGGATCCTTTGAGGTCCTTAGGGAACTCTGACACACCCAGATATAAGAAAGTCTTTGGAATAATATTGGCATTGAAGTGGTTCATTACATAACTCAGAGAGGAAGTCAAGATCAGGTTTCCTATAGTTGTAATCGCTTATTTCTGCACTTTTTTTGTAATTCAATCATTTGGTATGTAATAATTTGTAAACAATATCGGGGTGATTAGTGAAAAGAGTGGGTAGTTGTATATTGTGGGTAAATTGGGTAGATAACATGCATATAGAGTCTATTTTGATTCAAATATGGTCTGTTAGATAACATGCCTATAGGATCTGCTCTGGTTTAAAATGAATTCTGCATGCTTTACTTTCACACAATTAGAAACCATGTCTATAGGATCTAATGGCTTTAATAATAGAGATCATGTCTATAAGGTTAAAATCAGCTTTATGATTAGATATCATGCCTATAGGGTGTAAAGTAATTGAAGTTCAAATTTCATTACAACATGTATTCAGATTCGTCTCCCTAGAAATCATGCCTATAGGTCCAAAGTCAGCTTTTAATCCTTAGATACCATGACTATAGGATCTAAATAGCTATAATAGAAATCATGCCTATAGAACTTAAAACCAGTTTAGTTGGAGAAGCCGTTTAGTTCACGTTGTTTATTCTGAATTGGATTAGTTAATTAATCTGCCGCTTCTTTAATAACTTTTGAAACACTGCCTTAAGTTAATACAGTTAGAAAGCTTGTCTATAGGATCTCAAGTTGTCTGTTTTAAATCAATCACTGCTCTGCTGCATTCCTAATCAATATAGATATCATGCTCATAGGACATCACTATTACTCCTAGGCAAGCCTTAGGTAGTTACTCGAATAAAACTGGAACTGCCTTTGTTTAATTACCAACTGCTACAACCAGCAGGCAGGCCTGACTCAGACTTCTTTTCTGAGTTATATAATGAATCTGATTTTGACTCAAACCCTGCTTTAGGATTTTAACTGTGTTTAAGTCATGCTATTTATATGTATTGTTTTCGGAGGTATACATGAGCCTTCTAATTGTTTATATGTTCCCCCTCTAAATTCAGTCCTACGTGTTTTTGTACGTCGCCTTAGCCTTTTTACCTTTAAACTTATGTGTCATCCTAAAACCTCCCTCTTATAGGAATAGTAGTCCTAAATTTATCCGGGACTGGTAGGAATGGGACAGGTAACAACATGCAATAGAGACCGAGACCAATCCACGCTTTAATACTTCACGGGGTGGGAAGGGTAGATATGAGTATGATGACTGGTGTGCTAATACCACGTGTATCCCCTCTTCTGAGGAGTGTCATACCAGGCATTGCATTGAGGTGATCCATATTACAAACAAACCTAGGACCCCTTTTATTTTTTTACGAGCATGTTTAGCTTGTAACTCTTTTCAAAACCCCTTTAAATCATTTTTTCAAACGTTTGTGTATTTAAACTTAGATCCCCTATTACTTGAGCCTTTATTTGTTTACTTGCTAATTGCATAAATTCACAAAAATTATCAGGCCGGGAACCACACCAGTGGATCCTAAGGGGTGCCTAACACCTTCCCCTTGGGATAATTTCAAGCTCTTACCCTATCTCTGGTTATCAAACATTGTTGTAGTTAAATCTTATAGGTGCCCTAACGCACCTTAAAATCATTAGGTGGCAACTTTTCAAATACCTAATTCCCAAAAGGAAATGAGCCATTACGCCCCACGAATGTCGAAACCCGGACTCCTCTTCGATGGGAGGGAAAAAGGGGGCGCGACAGCAACAACGGAAGAGATGTGAAGAATTCATAACCAACTGCCGAGCCGACAAACCATTGAGCCTATACTCCTGATAAGAATCATTACCTTATTCTGAACCAAATAATGGTGTTTGCTCTTTAATATACTTCATATAATCCGATCGCACTGATCCTAGATCCAATAACCTTGTCTGGCCCAGTACAAACTGCTCAGGCGACAAGCCACCCTAGTCATGATCAAAAGTCTCATATACTGCCACAATGTGCCAATAGGCTACCAATTCGAACATGATACATAAGAAAACCAAACTTTGGAAGGGACTACTCAACTCACGCTGCTAATATGGACTTTTCTCAGAAAATGGGAAACAAAACACATAAAATAGGTATAGGGAACTATACTCAACATCACACTGTTGCGGCATGCAACCCGATCCAAACAACATACCTATGGCGGCGTGCCACCCGATCCTCACATAAAATTCACACAAGGTGATACACACCGAGCTAAATTGCTCATTACAACAAAAATACCGAATAGCGGTCACAAGCACGCTAAGTGCATCACACCTTCCCTGGGGTGACATATAGCGCTATAAGCTACAAACTCAAGCACAACTGAAGTGCGATATACGATCTGAATCTCAAGAGTCATTTTGCTCATATAACATCATCTCTACGCGGAACCTCAACACAGAAGAAATTCACCAAGTCATCTCACAACCCACATGGCGCAATATATCATTACATGAAATAGCTGACGACGAAATAACACCCCGACTACTCTTCCATAAGGAGTGCATTGCTGAAATAAACACATTCAGCCTGATATAGAGTTCATATTCACATTTAAATCCATCTACATACCTCAAGCTGATTCTGATCTCACTGAACTAGGCTAATAACCTTTCAAAGGTCTATAATCACCCCCTTTTCTCATAACACCCAAGAACAACCATCATAACCGGAGTAATCCTCCACAGTCCACAACCCAATAAATTGAGTGCCCTCCAGGCATCAATTCTCAATTTAACGACATCACTATAATCTTCATACTTGGTTTAACTCTTCAATCAATCCAGTGGTTACATGCCACACTTATATAACCTTCCCATGGGGCACGCTCCCACAACCTTCTGTAATAGATAACAGGTCTGAACATCCAAATCACCGGCTGTACTAATGCTGAAAAGCGATCAAGAATCCTTAACCAGGATGCAAAGCCTTTTTCACAAAACACTGATCTCAGGTGACGCCGAAGACAATACCAACTTACTTTAAACATCGAAACTCCTTTCCTGCTTATCCGAGCTCGTGACACCCCTTGTCAACACCGAACTGCAACATTGATCCTCACTTCAAATTCCATACTACTCACTGCACCCAACATGCCAATATACGATAGAACACGATTTTCATCATAACTCCGGAACTACTAATAGATTAACACTTCATCATATAAAAACTTTTTATTTAACTCATTCCAAGAGAACCATAGCAACACATGAGTGAATTCTCATAATCGTAGAATATGCAAATCTCTAAGTAGTGATCTAAGCCACCTTAGCCCTTCCAGGATCTGCCTACACATAACAGGACATAACAGTAGGATACTCCTGAATAACATCAATTACGGCGACCGACAAGCCTCACACATTCCGTCACAAATCACTTGCATAACTTGATCACGTTGAAGGAACTGATCACTATCACCAATATGCCAATTCAACTATGGCTAACCAATCTATCTTCTTCCAATTTATCCTTGATTGCCTTAGAAATAATAATAACTCCATTCAACACATAAGACACTCCATCCGCACTTATCCCGAGTGACCTTGAATTACGAGACCATGTTGTCTCAAATCCCACGAGCCATTTCATACCTCCCAAATGCTACACTGCAAGTCAAAACATCATAGGACATTCTGATCCTCTTCTCATAAGCTGCTACAAAGCTTGCTTCTTAACCGTACCTATAGGCTCAAAATCATTAGGCACGACACTTTACCCCTTTGAATCCACTAGGGCCGTTGTTGAGAGCCACCCGCTCTGACTTGGCCCCAAATATAATCAACTCCATGAATCTTCTAGCACATGAATACCCTTTCAATGAAGCACCCGACAGTAAATAAATCCTGAATCCTTCCCCAAGTCTGAACATGAGCCAATAAGGCCAACCATAACACACCTTTAATAATTCCTTTGCTCAAATTACCACTTATGTTCTTTTCCCGTAACTGAAATAACCCATCAATATGCTAATAACAAGAAACCTCGCACATAGTTAACCATGCAACCCAATCATAGGCGGTGGAACTCTCCCACTTGGCTTGAAGTCACTATTACACAACTCTGGAATTCACTGGGTACAATCACCACGACATCAACAACCCATCCTGAGTCCGAGCTCACTCTCTAGCTGCACAAGTCCATTCACCCCTCGTAGACATCAATTAAATGTGTGGAAACATCCTTCCAATTCAAAGTGAGTGTAGTGGGACTGTAGCTCACAGGAATCCCACATCGAAAAAGAGAGGGGGAGTCCTGGGCTATATTAGTAAGACTTGGACTTACATGTGCATAGGCCTTTTCCCCAGTGGGACTGGGGGAGAACAAAACCGTGCGGGTGGGATCCAAAGCGGACAATATACACATAGTGTGGGGCCGGATCGTTACAATTCAACTTTTTCAAGCACATATATGCTACGTTGGAAACTGAAAATGTGAGTTTCCAACATAGCATATATATCTACAAAGACGACAATAACAAATAAATTAAAACAAAGAATAAACTCTTATATTATAACAATCCATCAAACAAGTAGGGAAAAACAAAATATTCCAACATTTAATACTCGCAAAAGTAGGTAGAAGGCTTGTCTAGTGTAGTTTATCCTCTTTTGAGGTTTGCGAACTATTACATAGGAGCAAGATTTACCCTGTTCACACCCGAAGATCGAGTAGCGACTGCGGGTTTCCCTAGTTAACCAAAAAAAAGCAGGTAGAATACCAACAAGGCATTGGTCTTGAATACAACAAAACTTTTATTTTACATCAACAACATATATCATAAACACTATAATAATTATTTTTCAAGCATCCATAGGAGAAGCATATGGATCTTCAGCATGAGTTGGATTTTTGGAAGTTCGAGCCAGAAATGCTCTAATCATAGGCTTAACCTTCTCCACTGTCTTAATTATTCCCAAAAACATGAACCTATAGAGAATCACCATTCCAAAAACAATTGCAACATCAACCCATTTTGAATATCCCATTTGCACTTGCCATATATTTCTCAAAATCTCATCACCAGTAATTGTAGCTGGCCCTCCAATTTGCTCATTAGGAAAAGTTAATCCCAAGAACTCATTCTTATAAAACCCTTGATTTGCATATTTGTGAAATGCAATATAATACATTGGATATTTCCAAAATGGATTAGGAAGATCATTAGGCAATCGAAAGAAACCTCCGTTAAGCATCATAACACCTTGAATTCCAGCTCCTGTTATAATTCCCATGAGAAAATCTGGTACAATACTTGCCACGATCATCATTAGACTTTCGACTAACATCATTGTTGTGAATAACATTAGTGCAAAATAAGCAAAGTGATCAAACTCCTTTTGTAATCCAACAAGGTAATAAGCCATAGCACCAGGTATTACTGAGATCATTGCTAGGTAAGGAATGGAAGAGAATGTATTTCCAATGACATATGCAGCCACACCATAGTGCCCATTTAATCTTTCTCGAGTGAAAATCTAGCAACAATTAGGAGCAAATGTCAAATAATTAGCATCATTAATTGTTACTATTGTGAAAGATTATGTGTAAAATAAATGAGGGTGATAGTTAAATGTGCATACTTTCATATCCTCAACAAAAGATGGGAATCCACCAATAGCCATAAAGGTTAAGAAGGCAGCAACAAACATGAGCATTGAACCTCTAGCCTGCAAATTTAGCAAGGAGCGAAGAAAGACGAAAATGTTATACTCTGACATGTCACCTAAAAGATAACTATACTGTCGATCTAATAATTCATTTGTTTTTAAAAAAATATAAGCAAAATGTCTCACCTGAATGGAGCCATAGTCGTGGCCAATGTCATGAAATATAGTGCCAACACACAAGCACAAAGCAATATATATTGCAAAACGAAGCCAGTAATAACCAAGATCACGATACATGTTCACAAAAGATCTCCTGGTTAGAACCGTGCACTGAGTAATGAAACTTGCTTGGTTTCCTTTCTTTGCTTCTTGTCCACCATTCTATACACAAATATTCATATTAGACCAGTTTAAGTAATTTTCTTGGATTTGCACAATATATAAGATCAAAATAGCGATTTTGTTAATCGCGTGCACTAGTATAAAAACCTGTTGGCAAATCTCCAGAACTCGACGTTGAACTTGTTGGCAACCCTGTGAGGTCTTGTATGACTTAACCAGAATATTGATTGCTTCTGTCGCCGTGGCTTTTCCACCAACTCCTTTCTCGATATCCTAAGGTCAAACAGAGAATTAATCAGCACAACCCACAATAATTATCTCTAACACTAGTTTAGACAGTAGTACAAAGAAGAACATATATAGATATATACTTACAGCATCAAAGTCCTTGTTGATTGTCCTTAAGTAGTGGTCAGAAGGATTCCTCATAGTTGGACATGGGAAGCCATTCAGTGCAAAAAACTGGAAAAAAATGGTATTAAAGATTCATCATAAAAAACTAATTTTAGACTTTTTATATATGAAGCGACATGTTGCTATAGATTTAACTTATATCGATTGACAACATAAAGAATTTTGACACTATCAGTGTAATTTAACCTTCTATAGTAAATTGCCTATTTAATATTCAGACAATTAGTTTCACTTAATATGGGCAGTTACTCGTAATTATCTTTAAAAAGAAAAGGGCAGCTCGGTGCACTAAGCTCCTGCTATGCGCGTGGTCCGGGGAAGGGTCGGACCACTAGGGTCTATTATACACAGCTTTACCCTACATTTCTGTAAGAGTCTGTTTCCACGATTCGAACCCGTGACCTCCTGATCAAATGAGATCAACTTTGCTGGTTACTTCAAAAAAAGTAAGAAGCCTTTTTACATTGTCAATGCGTAGAAGGTAAGCTATATAGTAAGTACCTCATTTGCAGCAGAAATGGAACCAAAGTAGACAGTCCTACCAGAGGAGAGAAGGCAAAGATTGTGGAAAAGCTCAAAAACTTCACTACTTGGCTGATGTATAGAAGCAACCACAGTTCTTCCATCTTGTTTAGCCAATTGAACTATTCTATTCATGACATGGTAAGAAGCTGCACTGTCAAGTCCACTAGTTGGCTCATCAAGAAAAAGAAGCTTTGGACGTGTTAGTATTTCTATGCAAATACTAACTCTTCTCTTTTGTCCACCACTTAATCCTTTTACACTCCACCCTCCAATTCTTGTATTCATTGCATCTTGTAATCCCATTTCTCTTATTGTTGCTTCAGCTCTTTCTTTCTTCTCGGATCTTGACATTGAATCTGGTAATTGGAGTTGTGCTGAATAGTATATTGCTTCTCTCACTGTTAGTGTTGTCATCAATGTATCATCTTGTGTCACATATGCCTTTTAGAAAAGAAAAAAAGAAAAAAAAAAAGTCATTAAGTCANTTCACTGTCAGTGTTGTCATCAATGTATCATCTTGTGTCACATAAGCCTTTGAAAAAGAAAAAAAGAAAAAAAATGAGTCACAAGTCAAAATATGTTTTTCGTTAACTGTATAGAAGTCAAACCCCACAAAAAAGGTAAGATATTAGTTCTTATGGGGAGATTTAAGAAGCACGTGAACCCATATTGGCCTCTCATGGCCAAATTAGATATTTTATATATATATTTTTTTAAATTAGTACTCCCTCCGTCTCATATTAACTGACGTGATTTCTAAAAATAATTGTCTCAAATTATTTATCATTTTAGAAGTTCAAGAGTAAATTAATTATTTTTTCCTATTCTATCCTTAATATTAATTGTTCTTGAAGATTACAAACACCTTAATTATGAGTAAGTAATAAATGAAGAGAATTATATTTTAAGACATAAATAAGGATAAAATAGTAAAAATTATTTCCTATTTATTATTTTCTTAAGGGGCATGTAAAAGAGAAACACGATAGATAATATGAGACAGAGGGAGTATAATATTAATTGTTGGCACGCATGCCATAGAAAGTTGAATGATATACTTGGTTAAAAGTAATTGAGTTATTAAGATCAATTTCTACTATACATTTTTTCTTCCTTTTCTTTAGTAGTGCACTCATGCACTGAAAATCTTAGATCTAACTCTGGTGAAGTTATATGTTTAATTTCAAGATATTTTCACTTATTCCGGAGAGTTACATGTAATTGTATTTTAGATAAATTCCCGATACCGTTAAAGTTCTTTTATATTGTAAATGTATAAAAATTAAAACTCGTAAAGAAATAGCTTATGATATTTTTTGTCCTTACCGAAGTGCCAAAAGCAAGAGCTTGCCTCCGACCATTGATGAGGATTTCTCCAGTTTGTCTCGTGTTCGAATCCAATCTCCCTGAAATAATATTAAATAATTAATGAGTTTCAAGTGAATTAAAACATTTTCATTTTATTTTTTTCTTGCTCTTTGCCGGCCAGAGACCACAGGGGAATTAGTGGAAGACTTTCCAGTTGGTGGTGTTTTTAAGTCAAATTCTGTGGACCATAGACATCATAATAATTAATAAGTGGAGTAGTTCCTAAGCAAGTTTTATACTCCTACTATAAAAGTCAATATTACTCCTAGTATATGTGACGTTATCAATGGTCTGATAAAAATCGAAATACTCTAATTTATCTCATGAATCAATCAATCAATTCCAAGTAACATGGCGGGCGTTTGGACATAAGAATTGTGATATTTCGAAAAAATGATTTTTTTTTAAATTAAAAATAATATTTGAAAATTAAAGTTGAGTTTGGACATGAATACAATTCGTAGCTGTTTTTGAATTTTTCTGAGTGATTTAAAGTGAAAATTTTGAAAATAACTTTTTGGAGTTTTAAAAATTTCCGAAAATTTTAAAAATTCAACTTTAATTAAAATTTAAAATTTTCATGACCAAACACTGATTTAAAAAAAAGTGAAAATTTTTCGAAAAAAAAAGTAAAATTTTTTATGGACAAACAGGCCATAATATAAAATTTATAATTTAGTCAAGTTTGTAAGAAATTTAAGCAATTAATCACTCCTTTGAGCTAGAGAGCATTAGAGAAAAATCTTAAATGATGGTTTCGGATAAGGAAGGTTAAACTAGAAATCTGTATAACAATTATTCATTATAAAAGTCATATTTTTCTCAGAACTGATTCTTATGTTATGTTATAATATATATCCTGTATAACAGCACTTCACTATAGCAGCCAAAAAAATATAAAGACAAATGAAACTATTATATGCTAGAGTAACTAGTACCTGCTAAAGTATCAAGAAGAGTGGATTTGCCACAACCAGAAGGACCCATAATGGCCAAAACTTGACCAGGTTGTACATAACCAGTTAGCCCTTGTAATATTGCTCTCCTCCCTGTTTTCTTGTCTGGCACTGTCACCCACAAATCTTTCCATGTCAAGTAAATTCCTTCATTATTAAAAGGGAGTACAACTTCCTCATATGCAAAACCAGTAGTATTATTATTTCCCTTAATCTCTTCCCTAAGTATTATTGGTGGTGTTTCATAGTGTACCATTTCTAAGGACCTTTTTATTTCAGAATCAACCCTAAGAGATGGTGCTTCAATAGCAGCAATATGAGGTGGTGGACTATTACTAAATGGGAAATTTTTGGTTGGGTTTTTGTTGTTAAAAGGAATATCATCTTGAGAATAAGTAACACTTTCATTATCTGTCTCAGATTCTTGGCGTCTATGTGGTGATCTGTTTGGACTAGGTGTCCATCTTGGAACATTAACCTGTAACTCCATTTCAAATATTCTTTCTGTATAGGAAGAAGAAGATGAAGAGAAAGGTATAGAAATAAGTAAAGATAATGCATGGGAATGAAGAGAGTGGTTAAAGAGAGTCCATATATATAGCACTAATGAGGAAGGTGTTGGGAAGTTGGAGTACTAATCTAGTTGTATAAATAAAATAGCTAAATTAAAATTATTAAACCAGATTGATAAGGCACGAAAGCTAAGAAGAAACTAAACAAATGTATATAATCCATAAAATGAGACAATTTTGGCCTTGCTTGGTCTTAGTTTGGATTAAAACGGCCCGATAATACTTTTAATATAATGTGATATTTTCCGTTTTAAATCAAGTTCGCATAATTTTTTCGAAAAGGTTTCACAATGCTAAGAAATCTCTACATGTTATATGTAGACACGATCCCAATTTATGAGACTTTAATCGTATACTCAACATAAATCAGATTTGCTTCCAAAGGATGAAAGCTAAGAAACAAATGTGTATATTTCATGAAACTAGAGAATTTCGTCCTAGGTCATCTTCTTGTGATAAGTATGGTTTGACTTAATCTTCTGAATTGTGTGAAAAGGAATAATTGCGTAGCATCTTCACTATTTGTTATTTCATTTCTTAAGTAATTTCTGTCTTTCTATTTTGTCTTTTCTTCGTAGCTGTAATTGATGGGAGAAATTTAAAAATAGCCAAATTTACAACTGGTCATTCAAAAATAGTCCAGTTTTAAAAGTAATCGAAATTTAGCCACTTTTCATGTAAAGATAAATCTGAGCAGAAACACTGTTCAAAACCCGGAAAATACGCCCGTATATTATACTGGAGTTCCAGCATAAGTGTGCTTGAACTCCAACATATTATACGGGAGTTCCAGGATAACTATGCTGGAACTCCAGCATAATATGCTGGAGTTCCAGCATAAGTGTGCTTGAACTCCAACATATTATACGGGAGTTCCAGGATAACTATGCTGGAACTCCAGCATAATATGTTTGAGTTCCAGCATAAGTACACTAGAACTCCAGCATAATATGCTGGAGTTCCAGCAAGTATAAATGTCCAGTATAATATACTGGAGTTTGGAGCACCGGTGCTCCAGTCTCCCGCATATTATACAGGAGTCAGCAAAGTATACCGGTCCAGCATAATATGCTGGAGTTCGTACACATATACACCGAACTCCCGTATATTATGCGGGACCGGTCTCTGTTCTAACAAAGTAGTGGCTATTTTTTATTGACCTCGTAAACGGTGACTATTTTTGAATGACCAGTCCGAAAACTGGCTATACCGTGCTATTTTGACGTAATTGATAGCACCACCGTGGGATAGTTAAAATTCTTTCACTTTTAATCCGAAATTTCGGGTTTGAGTGCAAAAATGGAGATCTTTAAGTTATATATATATATATATATATATACACGCACATTCTATATGTTATATACAAAATATATTATTTTATACATTTATTCGGCTACCGAATGTAAATAGTTTATGGCGCGGTTAAAAGTAATACTACTACCCAAAAAATTAACCTAAATAGCAGCTCACTCAATTACTTAAACTAAAAATTGCCCGCGAATATAAAATACATGCATAATAAATATATTATTTATGTATACAGGCTAGGCTAGAAAATGTAAATAGTAAAATCGACAGCTATTTGTGTAAAGATGTAGGAAGAACTTTTAACCCTCTTAGGTGATCTACCTGTGAGATTTTAAATTAGTCGAGTTAATGACTTTAAATATTAAATGATTAAACCGAATAAAAAAGGTTAAATAACTAAATCAATTGCTTGGCTACTCTTGACGTTCAAAAACCATTTGCTTTCCAAATCTAACATTCTATAAATAGTTTACTAGTCAAGATTCCTCTTTGAGAAATCTCATGTCATTATTCAGAAAGCAACTATGAATCCGCAAATCTAGCCGTGGGGATGACTACCATTAAAAGATGAAAAAAAAAAAATCAAAAAATAGAAAATACACACAAGCTGCAATTTCAGCTAAAGTTGAAATTAAAATATTGTTAAAACATGTTTGATCGTAACTTGAAAAGTATCATTCATCTTGCCTATAATTTTTTTTTAAAATCTCTATTATATTGATCACGAAAGAACCGGAAGGGAGAAGGAAAAGGTGAGAATTAATCAACATGTTTGGTCTTTTAAAAAGAAAAATTAAAAAGAATTTGATCTTTACATGGGTAAAGGAGGATCAAAGCTTCAAATAAAGTTATGAAATGTATATTTTTAGCCTCTCCAATAAATATTTTTACCTTCTTGGATTTGACATGTTGGTCTTAATTGGGCTTAGGAGGAATGGATGATGGAATTGTTCAAATAATGAGTACAAAACGACTAAGTGGGCGTTTGGACGTAAGAATTATGAAATTCCGAAAAAAAAATGGAAAAAAATTCAAGTGAAACTAGTATTTAAAAATTAGAGTTGTATGTGGACATGAATACAATTTGAAGCTATTTTTTATTTTTTATGAGTGAATTGAAGTGAATTTTAAAAAATACTAGCTTTTTGGAGTTTTTCAAATTTCGAAAAACTCCAAAATTTAACTTCAAGTGAAATTTAAAATTTTCATGACCAAAAACAGATTCTGAAAAAAAATTTTAAAAAAAAATCCAAAAAAGTAAAAAATTTCTTATGGCCAAACGAGCCCTAAATATTTAAAGAGTAGTTTCTTCTTGTTAAGGCTATTAAATATTTTTTTTTAAACTGTCCCACTTGGGATAAACAAGTTATAGCTAGGTAAATGATTTAAGTTTAACTTCTATTCAGCTATGTCCCAACTCTCAACCACTTACCCTGTTTTAGTCTGGCAGTATATAAACTCTCAACCTTTTCCACTGTTTTAGTAATAAATTGATTGAGCAGTAATTTTCACTGACAACTCAAGTTGAACAAGAATTTTATGATTTTTACACAGTCCACCGAATTTATTATTTATTTTTTTTAGCCGATATACATAATAATATATTGGTTATATACATCTTATATATATATATATATTATACACCCGCCAATTATTTTTAGTTTAAATAATTAGGTGGACGGCTATTTGGATTAATTTTTCCATAATTATTAGTATTATTTAATTTTTTCACCATCACTCAAACTTACTTTAACTCTTTTTTCTACCACTAACTTAGTTCTTTTTCTCTTGTTATTGTTTCCACCACTGTAACTCTCTAAGCTTAGGGACGTATCATATTTAATAAGAAATCTTTACTTTCTCTCTAAAATTTGACTACTGTTACCAAAAAAAACTTACTGTTTTCTCCATTTATTTCGTTTATCATTATGGTAGACTTACATTCACACCGCCAATATGCTCTATTCATCTAGTTGGTGGATTTTGGTATTCACATTATTCACTTTACAAAATTAATTTTTAACTTCAGATAACTATATATACAACAAAATATTCAGTTAAAGTACTAAGTTATATTCAATGTTACATAGACAATTAATCAAATATATATAAGGTAATTAATAAGTTAATGATGATTTAAATCTCACCTAAATTGAATTCAAATCTCACATAAAACATAAAATAAAATTAAATAGATCCACTTCGATCATTTATCACAATGAATAATATTTATCCGATGCACTATTGTCAATATAAATATTAAATATTGAAGAAAAATAGAATAAAAAAATAAAAGAAATTTCAACTGAAAATAATATAAAATATTAAAAGCATGACCCTTGCTTAATTCTAATTGACTGTTTTTGCATTAATTGTTGTTTCAATAATCTTAGTCAGAAGCAGGGAGCATAGGAAAGAGCAGTAAGAGCAAGAGCAGTCCGCAAAACAGCTGGTTGAAGCATGGCAAGGTTGATTAGCGTACTCGTTGTATTTGCTTCTAATTATGATTAATTAAAAAATCGAAAGGTCATTTTCAGCGCATATGAAACATGCAAGGAATGTTTTTTTCATATAAATTCACAACCTTAATTCCAGAAACGCGTTTTCTTGACCCCCTCACCTTTCAGTAGTTCTAGAGATAACTGTTTAGGAAAACAACAAACAGAATTTCTTAGGAAATTATTACTTGTAATACGCATTTTATGTGTTTTAATATAGTCAATCATTTCACCTACGTGACCCATAATGTTTTATTTTTGATGTCAAAGTCATCTCCGACCCCTTCGACAGTAGCGTGAAACATATTCCTTTCCCGGTTTGAACCCGTATGAAGCTGTCGCTTTTGTTAAGGAAGACTTTACCTTTTAATGTAAGATTTTCCGACACTAATTCGAATTTAATCGGATCTCAATACGGTTACAGGATGTTGGGTGAAAAAAAAAAAACATTCTTCTCGCACCTTTCAATTTTCTATTGAACCGTGCCAATTTAGACAATATACTCATATAAAAAGTTTATACTTTTGGGTTGTCTAGTTTCATAGTTGAGTTGTGTATAGATTGATAATACCAAAGTTATAATGCAAGAATTATTATAGAGGATATTATTTTCACATATATAAAAAATGAAACACTAATATTTTTAATTTTATTCTTATTTAAAATCTCTTTAATGAACAATAATTTCGGCGATATTACTCAAACTTTAAGACAACATATTTGAATTTATTTTGCACGCAACATGGTAAAATCATGTAAAACGTTAAATGAGGGTACACTTTGTTACGTCTTTTCGTGGTTTGCTTCTCTTTATCATATTTAATTTCCTTTTTAATTTTTTAGCATGTCACGAAAAGTTCTTGATGAAAAGTTTCAAAACTTAGCTATCCTTTTGAAATTTATCCCCTATTTATCTAAATGAATTGTATAACTTAGGGGTGTACATATGTCGGGTTGGTTCGGATTTTACAATTACCAAACCAAACTAATTGTATCGGGTTATTAAATTTAAAGACCAAACCAAACCAATAAAATTCGGGTTTTTCAATCTCGGTTTTTCTCGGTTTCTCAGGTTATTCGGGTTTTTTCCGGTAAAATCTTCGTAAAACAAAACATATAACTTGTGCTCAAAATATTTCCTTTAATTCTAGTAAGATAGAACTATATAAAGTA